CGGTTAGACTGACATATACTATGACACTTTTATATGAGAAATAGTAGACTTCATCTATTATGATGTGTGAGGCATCTAAACTAGTATATGAGTGCTTGATAAGATAATCAAGTTCCATAGATTGATCTGTATGGAGATATCCTTTAAGTTCCAAAGGATTAATCTCTAAATGTTGTTTGTGTAAGTGATCCTTAGATTTAAAGTTATCAAAGTATCATGAGTACGGATGGTTATACTTTGTTTACTCTACGATTGTTCCTGTAATAGGGAATGCTCATATTATTAGCAAATAAGTATATATTTGAAGTATGGAAAGATGGTGAATAACCTATAAAGATTTACCATTGATAATTGTTATTTTACATATTTTTAAGTATGTTTATTTGTTTACTTTTGGTGTGATTTCAGGGTTTTTAAGGATGAAACTTGCTCTTTTAAGCCTCTATTTTTACAAGTTTCATTTTATAGCCAAAACTTGTATTTGAGCAGTTTAATGTGCAAAACTTGTTGCATTTGTACAATTTGAAAATTAATGATCATTTCGGATCACGGAAGATCCATGCAATAATATTAGATGCGATCAAAGATGATTTGGCGAATACTAGACCAACAAGGGATTACATCTCTACTTTTATCTCCTTGATGAAGGTGGAGTAGAAAAAGACAAATATATACAGGGGAAGCAATATGCACCCTTAATATGCGATCTTGAGCATGCGTATTCTAATCGTACAGCCACTTGCTCAGTTTTCACACAGCATTTTCTGTTCATTTATAGATCAATTTTGGCTGGTTTCCGCAGAAGTAATATTAGAAACTTGAAGAATCATCTTTTGGTAATTTCAAAGCACAAGTTACACAACTTTAACATGATTGATTGGAGATTGATTCACCTATAAATAAAGGTCTTGGAGAACATTTTTCGTAACTATAGAGTTCAGAAAATCTACACAAAATGCAGTTTTTCACTAGAATTTCCTTAGTTCATTAGTTAGGGTAAATTAGTATAGTTTGTTTCATTCAAATTTTGTATGTAACTAAGTATAGATGAGGTTGAGGATGAAGATGGAGAGCTTGGAGCTCATGTGACAAGGGTACATTTCTCCTATCACTTTATTTCTTGCATCGATTCTAATATTTGGTTATAATATAAGTTTGGATCTTGTTTTCATATCTTTCATGTTTTGCTAATTTTTGTACCTAGGGTGCGGATGAACTTCTATGATTGTTGTGTAATCTTTTCATAGTTATTTGAGTAATATTTTTTAACAAGTCATTTAGCATTCTTGCTTTTCTAATCATAATTAACTGGTCATTAATTGTGATAATCTCAAGATGTGAAGTTTATAATGAGAAGTGGGATTTAACACTAGTTTACAGAAGTACTAAAACTAGGGAATTACACTCATGGAGTAAAGGTGAACCTTTGTGATTTTAGTGACTTGTTCCATGTAATTCATAGAAGAAATGAGTTTATAATTAATTTCATAACCACGAGATTAGGTATGGCTGAGTTACAAGTATAGTTGATTCATTACAAGAGTAGGTTTCACATATATTATAAAATTACGCCATAACTAATCATGATAATAATATTCAATTAATCGATAATTTCACTTGTAAGAGTAGTGAGGAATTCCATAGCCGTAGGAGTTTTATATTATTATTTTTATTACTTTTATTTCATGTTTGTAGTGTATATTTAATCTCTTGTATTTGTGGTAGTCTAAATAATAAAGGAGTTCAAAAATCATCGGTAATTGACAATCTTCCCTCTGGAACCGATACCTAATATCTCTTTACTCAACAAACGATCTGTATAGGGCTTGATTCCGACTCACTTACGTTTCGGATATACTTCTAGAAAATAGGGTAAAATTTGGTGCATGGTAGAATCTCATCAACCACCTCTTATGAAAGACAAGTTATTTCATGTTTGACCACTTATAGAAGTATAACTCAAAATTCTTAGTATCAAGTGAAAGATTCTTACAAAGTGTTTCTATCTATTTCTTCATTGGAGTTGTATTTTAGTACAAGAAATAAGCATTAATTACATATTAGAATAAGCATTCCAAGATTATTGTGAGAAAATTGTGGTAAAAGGATGTTAATTACATGGTAAACATTTACTGAAAGGTGAAGTCATCCAATGCCAATCTTGATTTATAAGAATGAGTTGATTGATTAGTAGAATCAATGATAAATTAAAAGAAAATTTAATTTATTTAATTCTTATTTATTAAGAATTATAACTCATAGTTATTACTAACGTATATGAGAACCTAATGGCTCACATACATTAAAAACTTCTTTAGTTGGATTAAGTGGATTTCTAGTTTGGACTTGAAAGATAAGTTTTATAACTTATAGTTTAATTTGTGAGATAGATTAAACTCGAGGGGCTTATAGTGCAAATAAGTTTAAGTCTTCCAAAGATAAGATTTGTATTAGAATAAAGAAACGAAATCCTATTGAAAACTAGTTTCAGGTTTTCATAAGGATGTGGACAACTTATTTTTCTATAAATACTCAATAAGTTTTTGCTAGCAAGACTAATCAATACATAAATTGCCTTGTGAGATTTTGGAGAAAAATCTCGAGACAAAAATACCAAAAATTAGCCCAAGAAAATAAGGGAAAAATTACATCTCTTATTTCTCTCATTGGGCAAATTTTTCATGGTGGAAAACATTTTTCTCAACCAATTTGTAGGAGGTGTCTTGATAATATCTAGCACTAATTTAGTTTAAACTAATTCGACTTCATGGTGGAAAACTAGGTTTTTCTCAATCAATTTGTGGTAGATGTCTTAACAATAGTTAGCACTAATCCAGTTTAAACTAATTCGACCTAGGTGATTATACCTAAAGAGATTCTTGTGGATCACCGTTAGAGGCCGAACATTTGTGTGGTTACATGGATCACTATGCCCCTTTTGCGTTAGATCTCCACCGATTTAAGAAGATTTCCATGGATTAAAATATTTTTTTTGAAACTTATGTCACATGAATTTAATCAAAGCTTGATCTACTAAAAAAAATTTGAAAAAAAATTTAAAATTTTCATGAGATGATTAGACTTTATATACTTAGGATGCATGAAAGTTGCCCAGACTGAATCGTTGGATCTCAACTTCCACCAGAGCTTCATTGCGAAGGAATCAATAACCGTATGAAGTGACCGAAACCCCGAGTTTTCAACAAAGATATATTAAAATAGAAGTCTCCTATTCTTTAAAAATTTGTTCAACTCAATATTTGTATATTGTTATTCAATTGTTGTCAATTTAGTGATTGATTATAGTTTGCCTCCCTGAATGCAAAACTGAATGCAACGAATGCAAACAATATACACTTTACACCTATAGGAATATTCCATTTTGATTGTTAAAAATTGTGAACAATCATACCCTTCCGATAATCTTGAATTATTTTGCATGCACAATTATTGTAAGTCCCTTTATGGCTCCTTTTTTCAAATGTGAAATTTTTTTTTAGTGATCATACCTTTTTTCCTTGATTTCTATACTATGTTATTTTCATTTTTTACTTGTTTTTCTTTCTTTAGATAATAAGTTTACTCTCTTCAAATTCTTTTTGTTCTTTTATACCACAAGTATTTCTATTTTCCTTGATTTTTAGTTACATACTGAAGGCTTCATTTGTCAATTTTTTTTCTTGCACTTTTGTTTCGACTAATTTGAATTTTTTCAATTCTTTATTTGGATATTAATATTTCTAGTCATCAAATTTTTTCTTTCATTTTACTAATTAAAGTACTTTCATTTTTCATTTTTCTTCCTTTAGATATTAAGTTTTTATCTCTCTAAAAATTTTTCTTCCTTTCAACGTATGACTATTCTTTACATTAAATTTTTCTATGATCAAAACCATTCCTTCGATTCTTGCTATGAGTATGTTCAATTTCCATAATTTTTTATTTCTATACTAAACTTTTCTCTCATAAAAAATTTCCCCTTTTTTAAGCTCTAATCATTTTTAAATTTCATGAATTTTGTTTACGTATGCATTCTCCCGTTAGAATTTTTCCTTGTATTTATAGGGTGACTATTTATATTTCTAATTATTTTGTATTCATAAACATAATTTTTTCACTCATTAAATTTTTTATCCTTTTATGCATATGTCTATTTATTTTTTTTGTCTATATATTATCTTTTCACTAATCAATTTTCTTCTTCCTTTTATACCATAATCCTTTTCTATTTATTGGCTTTAAGTTATTTTATTTTGTTTTAACAACAAACTTTTCCACTGATCATGTAGAAATTAACTTTTTCTTTCATTCAATGATAAATTGGCCAAGATTTCATTTTGCAGTGTAATTTTGTCTTTTGATACTATTTTATCAAACAAAGAGTCTTTAACACGACAATTAGAGCAGCGTAGTTTATATCCAAAATTTTTCTTGAATATTTCTAGTTTTCTTGGATGCATTATTCGCAGTACCTGTTGGCTTTTACATGCAAATTATTGTGAGAGCGAAGAATTTCATGCCTTTTGCAGAAAAAATAAGTATATTTCCACAAAAATTATTGTGTACTCTGAGTCTCCTGTGGCGTTCGACACTAATGAAAATGAGCCGTGCTATTATTGTTTGACTAACTTTGAGAGGCTGATTGACAAGTTTTGTCTTGCTCATCCTGATACCCTTATGTCCACTTCAAATTGAACTGACGGTTTGCTGTAATCTTCCAGAGTTAGAGTTTCGACAAAGAAACGGGTGTGGTATATAGTACGTAATTCAAACAACGTTAGTTTTTAAGAATTTTTTGGCATTTTAAATGGTAGATTAAACCAAGTTTTTACACGTCGGTGGACCTTCAAGGAGCCCCACATAGGTGGACCTTGTAGTTGATCACTGGACTAGAAGGCAGGACCATTAATGGCGGTAACCAGATTCCAGCAACATATGTGGTTTAAAACGAGTAATTGGTACTGTATATTCAACTTTATAGGACTAAACTATCTATTGCAATGGCATACCTATGCATAAACCTCATCTTCTTCCTATTTCTCTTCCCAATATCTGCTTTGGCTCAAAAAAATGGTATTGTGCCTTTGGGCAGTACTTTGACCGCAGGTGAAACATCTGCTAGTCCTTGGCTTTCACCTTCTGGTGATTTTGCATTTGGGTTCCGACAATTTCAGGATAAGGACCTGTTCTTGTTTTCCATATGGTATTACAAGATACCAGACAAAACCGTAGTTTGGTTTGTTTATTCAATAGATCTAGTGCCACGAGGATCAACTCTAAAGCTTGATGCTCGGAGTGGGCTTGTGCTCCGTGATCCTCAAGGCTTACAACTTTGGAGTGCCGATGTCAATTCTAGTCAAGTTGATCATGGTTTTATGAATGATACAGGCAATTTTATCCTCAAGGGGAGTGATGATAGCCGGCTCTGGGAAAGCTTTAGATTTCCTGCTGATACAATATTGCCATATCAAGATTTGATACTTGGCGATTCTCTTAGTTCTCGACAGTCAGCAACAAAATTTTCCCAAGGAAGATTTTATCTCCGTTTTCTTTATGACGGGAATCTAGTGCTTGCTACCCGAAGTGTGCCAACCAATGTGTATGATGATGCTGAGTACTATAATAGTCAGACTTCTGATCCTACAGTTTTGTTGAATTCTGGTTACCAAGTTACGTTTGATGGCAGAGGAGCCCTGTACATAAGGAAAAGGAACAACGAGACAAAAGAGCTGAGTCCAGTTTCAATACCACCAGCATTAGAATATTATCATAGGGCCACAATAGATTTTGATGGGGTATTCACATATTATTTCCATCCTAGGACATTTACTGGAAATCCGAACTGGAAGGTTCTTTGGTATTTGCCGGAGAATATATGTTTCATTACTGGAGAAAAGGGGAGCGGAGCTTGTGGATTTAACAGTATTTGCCACCTTGAACACGGGAGACCGGCTTGTTCGTGTCCAGAAGGGTATATACTGCTTGATCCAGACGACAAGTACGGCAGCTGCTTGCCAAACTCTTCTCTCGGCTGTGGTGCAGTAAAGGAGGGCTCTACAGAAAACCTTTATGATTTTGTGGTGATCAATGACATAGATTGGCCACTGTCTGACTTCGAGCAAATATATCCTTCAAATGAAACTGTTTGTGAGCAAGCTTGCTTGCAGGATTGTTTCTGTGTGGTGGCCATTTTCAGAGACAACAGTTGCTGGAAGAAGAAGCTGCCACTTTCTAATGGGAGAGTGGACACTAGTCTTCAGTCAAAAGCTTTCATCAAATATCGCAAAAGTGATGCTCCCTCAGTGCATCCAACTTTTCGTCCAGTTCCAGTTGGATCGATGTCTTAATACTTTAAACCGAGCTAGTTTCTTAATTTAGTTGGTTGTGGGGTAATTAATGCACTGGTCCAATTTAGGTGCACAGAATTATGGCTTTCTTAAGCCTGGATGTTCGATCACATCGATCAGTTTCTTTTTCCTTTGCGTTTGGTTAGTCGGCTAAGTTCCGACGTTGAGAGTCTATAAATATATGTCCTGTATATGATATGAGAGGTGAGGTTATGTGCAATACAGACATATGTATCCAGTTGCCTCCAAACCAGAAGGTCTTCGGCTTGTTTCTATTTCTTTCCTTTCCACAATTTATATGCCTCCGGTTTCTTGTGCCTTGTTTGTTCAAATTGGGTAGGTTTAAAGATTTTCCAACAATCAAAGCCAAAAACCGAGGAATTTTGATAAGCAGCTCTTGTTTAATAAACTTGATATCTGATGCCACTGCTTGTATTGGTACATATATCCAGTTTTTGTGATAATCTTACCTGAACAAATACACGAAAATAAAGAGATAGGTAACATTTTATCCACTAGGCCGCGTGAATTTGTGGAATCTGAAAATTTCCACGTACGCATACAAATACACGAATGGTACCCACTTCTTGGGCAATATATTCCAAGGGACCGATCCCACGGCTCAGGAAATGTAATTTCCAACATTCGAATTTTTATATGCAAAATGCTTTTGAGAAACAATTAACAGGTTGGCATCCAAATGATCAATGGGACCCTAAGGGGCAACCAATTTCTAGTATAGCCACGTTGGGGAAGCCGATTGATGCCCTTGGCAAAGTGTTTGGGAGGGTAATGGTATTGGTTGGCACCCATAGCCAGTTTTCCGGTAAAAAATGACTCTGAAAGTCTTATAGCAACAAAGGAGAAAGAAGAGATGAGTGTGAAGAAAATAAGACTTATATTTATTTGACCAAATCTTATCTATTAAGAGATTGATTAGGCTTTGTCTTCCATTGTTTCCAAGGGAGGGATGACGTGGCAAACATGAGTTAAGACATATGATGAGGCTTGACTCCATCACTTACTCTTCTAAAATAGTTAGAGATTTATAACTAATTGTCTATAAATAATGTTCAAGGAACCAAACACATGGATGAAAGCTCCTTAACTTGTAAAGTCTCCTTAATTAGACTTTTCGTCTTCTCTTTCCATTTGCATTATGTCTTTAGTTTAATTTCCAATTCCTTTAGGTCCGTTTGGTTCACAGACTGGATGAGATGGGATGATGCATCCTCGGATTATTAATTCTGAGTTGAGTCATCCTCGGATCAATAATCCAAATTATCTAGTGTTTGGTTGGTTCTCGAATAGATAGGTTATGTTGAGAAATAATCATATCCTATGTTTAGTTGAAGATTGGATGAGATAGGATTACTATTTTAATAACTAAAGTATCCTTTCATTTGTAGATTTTTTAATAAAAATAATTTAATATTTTATAGAATATCATTAAAATAATTTAATAAAATTTTAATATTTATAACTTTTATTAAAATAGAGTAGTTTGAAAATTTAGAATTATAAAGTAAATCAAGAATTTTGACATATAAAAGTTTGCATTCACTCAAACTCAGCCCATTCGAGACCTTAAAAATAGATTTTGATTGAGTTTTTTAATCTAGATTTGAAATCCAATTAAATGATGGGCCAAGTTTTGGCTAAATTAGAGTTAAATTGATTAAGACCTAACCCATTTAAGAGCTTTAAATGAGCTGAACTAAAACCAATATAGAAGATTTTTCTTTGTGCCAAGTTTAAACTTATTGAAGTCCTCATTTAGAAAGCCCGATTCATAGGATTGTGTATTTATAGAGAATGTGGTTGAGAAAATACGCTTACGATTAAGACCTAACCCATTTAAGGGCTTTAAATGAGCAGAACTAAAGCCAATATAGAAGATTTTTCTTTGTGCCAAGTTTAAACTTATTGAAGTCCTCATTTAGAAAGCCCAATTCATAGGATTGTGTATTTATAGAGAATGTGGTTGAGAAAATACGCTTACGATTAAGACCTAACCCATTTAAGAGCTTTAAATGAGCTGAACTAAAACCAATATAGAAGATTTTTCTTTGTGCCAAGTTTAAACTTATTGAAGTCCTCATTTAGAAAGCCCAATTCATAGGATTGTGTATTTATAGAGAATGTGGTTGAGAAAATACGCTTAGTAAGGGTAATTTAATTCAAGGGCAATATAGTCCTTTTAATATGATGTAGTATGGGCAAATTAGTTAAAAAATTTAAATTAATTAATAGGTGTAAATTAGTAAAAAATTTTAAATAATGAATGGGGGCAAATTAGTCAAGAAATTTTAATATAATTAGTAGGGGCTAATTAATCCATTTATTATCATGTTATTATGTGAGAATATGGTTATACAGTAGTTAGTATGAATTCGTATCATTCACAAGGGAAAATTAGTCCAATTATTAGTTATTGTTATGTTGGTAGTAAGGACATATTAGTCAAAAAACTTCAAAATTAATTAGTAAGGGCAAATTAGTCCATTCATGTTATATTATTGTGTGGGAGTAGGGTTATATAATTATGAGAGTATAAAATTGTATTATTTTTAAGGATAAATTAGTTTAAAATGTTATCATCCTATCTGTTAGTTATTTTGAGATGTCTAATACCACCTCCCCCATAGGATTATTTTATCCCATGAATAGGGGATTAATTCTGTTAGTTGGAATGTGTCATCCAATATATAAAATACAACCAAATATGGGTTGACATATGATGATTAATCTAATCTTGTGTCATCCCATGAACCAAACAAATCATTTTTAGGGCCATTTGGTAAGTTCATGCTCTTCCATTTTTGTTTTCATATAAGAACAAAACAAAACACTAGCTCTATTTTTTTTAAAAAATAAGAACAGAACATAAACATATTTGTTTCATAGAATTGTTTACAAGACAGAAAATGATAAACATATTTGGTTCAACGCTGTTTTTTTTTAATTTCAATTTATCAAAAACTTTAATAATTTTCTTTGTTTGCATATGTTACCGTACTAAATAGTGGTAAATAGACTGTCAAAGCATTTCAATCCGATCAAAAGTTCAAGAACAATAAATTTAGATTAGTTCAAAGTCAAGAGCTACCGCTGAGAAACAACATTCACTACAAGGTAAATAATTCATAGTCAAAAACAGTCTTTCAACTGATACTACTCGTTCCTCAAGTACCGCTCGTCAAGGTGACATGCAAATCAGATCCAGAAACAGTGCTGTTGCACTGATAATGTTAGATACAACGGAGGAGATGTTCCATGATGAATCTTATTCTTAATCTTAAATATTTCCTCCATTCTGCTTTAATGGTCTTGTTTTTTCTTTTTCATTCATCCCAAATTATAGTCTATATTTTCAATTGAAGAGTATAGTTGACTTTTAACTTTTGTAAAATGACCTTATTTAATGTACTTTGTTATCAATAAATATAAACTACCTTATTTATTAATTGCTTTGATTCATACCTTATACGTTGAAACTTTTTATTAATATTGTTGTTACAATTAATGTAAAAGTATAATTATTAGTTATACTACGAATATTAATGTAAGGGTGTAAAACCCACGTCCTGGCTCATTTTTTTTATTAGTTTATTTTGTTCAATTAATTAAAAAGGCAAAATTACTATGGGTGAAAGAAAATAATAATAATATAAAATTTATTAGTAGGATAGGAGAGAGGAGTAATTAGGGTTAGTAAGGAGATGAGGTGAGATAAGAGTTGTGAGGACCCACAAAATTCCCTTATTTTATATTCTTTTATTTTATTTCTTCGTGTGCCATTTTTTTGTTACCTTACCCTATTATATTAATTTACCAGAGATTTTTATAAGAAAGTACAGTTTTTAAATCATTTTTCGAGTATAAATTAGTTTATGGGACATTAGTAGTGTATATTGTACGTGGGACCCGCTAGAGCGTTAAGTGCGGTGAATTTTGACGACTAGGTAAAGTTTTGTATTAAAGGACATTATTTTACCAGGTATTAAGAGATGATTAGAGGTTAGCTAGATTAATTAGTATTGATAGACAAAAGGATGAGAATGAATTTTAAAGAGCCAAGTGTCATTACACTATTGGAGGGTGGACTTTGACCAAGCTTATTTAACTTTCCTAAACTCCAATTTTGACCCAATTTTCTTCCATTTTAAGCTTCCCTTGGCCGGCCCTCTTGAGGAGAAAAACAAGAGAGAGAGCTTCACCTTGTCTTTCAATTTCTTGCTCAAATCTTGAATTCTAACCATTAGTTTTGTAAACCACTCCATAAAAGTGCTCGTCAAGGTAGTTTCCAAGGTAGTTGTGGAGTAAATTTGGGAGGAAGAAGCCTAAGCTACCATCTTTCTTGAGATTTCAAGGTATCTTGTTTAAAAATCTCTCTTTCTTCTTACTAATGGCAAATTATTGACTTGTAGTTGTTGAATACGTTGTTTTGTGGAAGATTTCATGATTTGAGGTAGAGTTAGATAAATTTCAGATTTATTGGTGATTTTTCTGTCCTTATATGATAATTATTGGTTGGCCATGGAATGATAGCTTGATATGGTGTAAAATGGAGCTTTTATATGTTAATTGTGGTTGTTTGTTGAAAATTTCAGTTTGTAGAGTAAAATTTCAGTTTTAGGGTTTCCAAAATTAGGGCTTTACTATGGTTGGTTGTTGAGCTCTTAATTGGCTAAGATTGAAGGGTATTGTAACCCTAATGAGTGTTGAATAGCCTATGATTTGTATGTGTACTTGTGGTTAGTTTTGGAGCTACTAATTGATTGTACATGAAGGGTATTGTGATCCTAATTAAGTGTGTTAAATGGTTTATGATTTGTATGTGGAATTGTGGCTGAATTGAGATGAGATTGGGTGGATGTTAGGTTGGAAAAGTAAAGAGAAACAAGGGAAGTGCTGCTGAAATTTTCGCAGGACCGTTGAGCAGTTATGGGAAATCTGTTATAACTTGATGTAGAAACATCGAAACTGAGTTCCATTTG